GTATGATTTTTAAATTTTTAACAAAATCAACAATCTTAGGTAGTATTTAAGCATAGGTATTTCTTTGAAGAAGCACAGAATGATATAAACACTAGAAAGAAAGAAAAATACATCTAATTTCCAGGGCTATATAGTCTGAGCAAGCTGTGCTCAGCTTTGGCCTGTGTGAACCTCAGAAAACAACTTGTGCCCTTGGGCCCATGAGGCAGGATAGCGAGCTGCCCTTCTACTCAATCTTCCAGAAATGACTTGGGAATGAGGAGAATGAAAAGTGACACAAAATTAAATGTTTCGCTAAGCTAAGTATTAATGTGAAACAGAAAGGTGCAGGTGTTCTAGGAAATCCTAGACCCATGTTTAACAAAATCCCCACACAAAGGAGGCATTCAGTAAGTATTTACCAAGTTGAATTGAACTGAAATGGTTTCTCACTTTACAGATAATGAAAATGTTCTGTAATGCATGCTACATAGGATAGATATCATAATGGGCAATAATCAACAACTCACCTCCAAAACTTCAGAATTAGAAGCTCATGAGCAACCCAGGAAAGAGATGGAAACAGGTCCATCAGAGCAGAGAGGTTTCAAGAACAATGAGTTCATGGTTGTAAAGTTAGGCTGGAAGTCTTGATAATATCTATTTTTCAATGTACTTTTAAAGTGTATAAGTATTTCTAAATTTTAATTTAGTTTAATCTGGCTTCTGTATATTAAGAGACATGTATGTTACTTAACTTCCAGAGGTGTTAGATTGTGTCCAGAAGTTATATTCAGAGAAACAAGTTTCATTTGGTTTCCAAACTATTTTATTCTTTTTATAAATTGCAAAAGCACAGTCCAGCATCCCTTCCATTTCAATACCACTGCAGTTTTCTCAAAAGATGAAAGAGAACAGAAGGCCAGAATTTCTACCATCTGAAGGGGATTACTGGAAATTATTCCAAATTTTAACAATGTCCTTACATCTCTGTCAAGCACATCCAACAATGAAGATAGTCCATTCCGTTTCCAGACACAGAAGCTATTGATAATGCACTGTAGTTTTTTAGATGGATTGTATTAAACAAAATTAAAACGGGATGTACAAAATATCCACATTATTTAAATCATGATAGGTGGAGAATAGGGCAAAACTTAACATTTAAGAAACATATTTATGAGCTCCATCATCCCAATAATAGAAATAGAAATAATGCCTTTTAATTATCTAAAAATTTGTGTCAAATTTATCCAGAGGCCAGTTTTAATGAAGCAAACCACATTGAACTGATTTCTCCTGCCCATACTCCATCTTCCCTTCTATGCATGAAGCAGTCAGTGAGTTAATTTCAAAGCAGGCAATGCGTTAACTTCTTACCATTTCATTTTGTTCAACTGCTCTATTCTAAATTCTTTCTGTAAACAAAGGACCATTCTTCTCTCCTTTTGTTATTGTGTACTTCTTTCGAATAGTTTCCAGGAATAAAATAACTCTTCATGAGAAAACAGAACAGTTGCTCTTAACATCCTTTTTAATACAATTACGAGATGATGGCAATGTTTTATTATTAACACCCTAACATGCTGTGACTTGTACATGACACAGATTGGTTATAGACATCACTGTGCATGGCCACTATCAATTTCAGATATGAAAGATTGTCAGTTTAAAGGACAGTGTTTTTTTCTGTTGGGAATTTTTGCATGTTACAAAAGGGAAAAAAGCAAGGTGAATAACTGAAAATTCAGCGTAATTAGGTTTTATAATGCAGCTTTAAAGATGGTGAAATGTATATTCATTCTGGCACTTTACCAAGAAATAATTTTTGCAACTATTTCTTGAGAAACTTTATCATCAATGTATAAAAATAAAATAACAGAATTTCTGCCCAGATGGTATGATCCTTGGTGTTTTGTTTTGTTTTTGTTTTTTTGTTTTTTTTTTAGAAAAACAGTATTTAAAACAGCAATATCTGTCTTGCATGTGAATACTGCATTTGAAAAGAAACAAAATCTGTTTACAGTGCTTCACTCTTGAAGTCCAAATTGAAGTCTTAGTTAAAGTTGAGGGTTAAAGAGCACCATTCTTTCAAAAGGAAAAAATAAAGCAGCTTTCTGCTCTGTGAGGTCCAATAGGCCAAGAAGCAGTGCACAGCAGACACGGGATCTGCCCTCACCTTGAGTTCAGGCTTCTGAGCCTTCAAAAAAAAAAAGCTAATTTCTATTTATAAACCAAAAAATAAAGTAAAAATTAAAACTTCCAAGTCAAGCAAGGCACTTCACGGTCCTCCTGTGGTTTTGTCACTGATACGGTTGAAGATTCACCTGCTGGCTTTGCTTATACCGACAAAAACTACAAAAATAGCACCAGAGGAAGCTGGCCCTGGCTCTACTTAGATTTTGAAGTTATGGCTATTTGGCTCCTGTCTTCAACACCCATGTCTCATATAGCAGCCTATGCAGTCTGCTAAGTAGGGAACTTACAGATTCAAGACTAACCAGTCAACAGTCTTATGAGAAATTCCTTCAAGCAACATAAATAAACTAAAACATTTCTGTATAAATATGTCTTCTACCTCCTTTCATCCTCCTCTCACCCAAACTGAGACTCATCTCTGATTTTATTAGTGTATTTGATGCTCAGGAAAGAAAATCCTGAAAATATTAAACAGAGCAAAATATTTACATAATAAAAATGCTAAAAGTAGGAAATGCATTGCTATTTCTTCTCACCATTCTAGAATAGTGCGTTGTATATTTCAAAACCGAGGAGTAAATTTTAAATGTTTTCACTATTAAAATGATCATAGTGGTGTCAGCTTGATTAAAATCATTCCACAATATAGATTATATCAAAGCATCACATTGTATATAGATGTATATGCCAAGCACCTTCTACATAATAGCTCGGTTTTAGTAGATGCTGTTTTATAGAGCACAGGACACTAGCTGCCTTCCTTTCTTTAGTGACTTGCCCTTGATGACACCAATGAGAGGGAGGCAATGTTATAAACAAATAATGACTATGTACATGGTTAAAGGTTCTGAACTGTAAGCGACCATTCAACAAAGAATACTAGCTCTATATAATACCTTAGCTTGTCTATTATTATTTGACATTTGCTCTTGAAATGTTGTTTCCTTTCCTCTTCGTTTGAACAGAAGTTCAAAAAGAGGCTGAGCAGCCAAACAGATTTCACTGCCACCCCACAATACATAATAATTAAAATATGACAAACAGGGTTGTCAACTTTTGGGTCTTTTTCTTTTCACTTCCTCCTCCTCCTCCTCCTCCTCCTCCTCCTACTCCTTTTCCTCCTCCTCCCTCTCCTCCTTTTCCTCCTCCTCCTAGTCCTCCTCCTTCCCTTCCTCCTTCTCCTCTTCCTCTTCCTTCTCTTCCTCCTCCTCCTATTCCTCCTCCCTTTCCCCCTCCTCTTCCTCCTCCTTTCCTCCTCCTCCCCCATCTCCTCCTCTTCTCCTCCTCCTAACCCCTTCTCTTCCCTCCCCCCTCCTCTTCCTCCTCCTCCTCCTCCCCTCCTCCTCCCCCCCTTCTCTTCCTCCTCCTATTCCTCCTCCTTTTCCCCCTCCTCCTCTTCCTCCTCCTTTCCTCCTCCCCCCCCCCCTCCTCCTCCCCCACCTCCTCCTCCCCCACCTCCTCCTCCTAACCCCTTCTCTTCCCTCCCCCCTCCTCCTCCTCCTCTTCCTTCTCCTCCTCTTCTTTCATTACCACCTTTCACTTCTCCTTTTTCTTCCCTTTTTGATTGTTACACGGTCCCCACTTTTTTTCTTCCCTTCACAATATTAACAACTGTTTTTCAAAACATTCTCCAAACCGTTTCTGGCTCAGATTGTCTGTTCACCTAAGGCACTCCACATAACCCTTGAGAGGGGGTGGCTTTAAGAAAGGGGTTTCCCTAAATCAGCTGCCAGAAGCACATACGCCAGGCCCACCCCCTTGCCCTCCCCCGCGAGCACCCACCACACAGGCCTCATGATCCATTGCCAAAACTACACAACTCCCACTCCAGCACAGCAAAGCACTCTCACAGAAGAACACATCTAGACACCCCCTACAGTATCTGGGAAACAGAGGTAACCAGGCGGCTGCCCCTCCCCAAAGAGCGCTCTGTAGCTTCAGCCAGGATGCGCCAGGGCCCTCGGGTCCCGCCAGGCACCGATTTGCTCTGGCTGGGAAGAGGACGTCAAGGGAAGAGAAGCAGAACCTCTGGCAATTTCCAAAAGCAAGGGCGGATTCAGACTGCTAGGTAAACTGTGCCTGGATCACTCGCCACCCTCCCAGCCCTCCAATCCGCAGCCTGGACCGCCGCATTTTCAGTTCCAAGTTTTAATGTTCCCTCCGAGATGCCGGCAACTAGCATCTAGGAAAGAAGGGGTGGGGGCAGCGGTTACAACTCTTCACTCTCTTGTCCCTCCGGAATTAGGCACCCAACTCCGTGGGATTTGTTTCCTGCGCGGGAGGAGAGGAGGAGAGCTGGAAGGGGCGCTAGGGAGTAGGGTGTGGCGATTCCTGTAGGGAAGATTCCGGAGAATTAAAGCCCTGGACCCACCAGCAGGGTCCTGGGGCCGCGGGGCCCGCCCGCCGCTTTGTTGTCCTCCTCTCCGGTGGCCCACGGCGAACGCTGCGCACATACACGCCCCAGAAACCCATCACAACCTGTCACACCCGCCCTCCAGCCCTGAGTCCCCTGCCATAAAGGAGAAACTTGTCCTCAGGAGCACCAGTACCAGCTTTGCCAACGAGGACAATGCTTAAAGCTGAACCAAGAGTGATGCTGAAATAAAAAACGTCAACAGCCTTGCGGAGCCTTCAGAAGAAAATCGCTGTTTCCACCAGCCCGATAACATTTACGGTCACCCAGGCGAAACCCGGCTGGGGCTGGGGCCCACGGCAGGGGAGCCAGGAAGGTGCAGAGGAGAGCTGTGCAGACCGAGACTGACAGGGACCCGGGTCCCTGACGCCATTTGCGGGGTCGAGGTCGCGGCGCCCGCGGGGCTTACCTGTGGATGCAGTTTCCATGGCAACGGGCGGCGGCCGGGCGGGGCCGGAGCACAGTTCCCGCGGCGCTGCCACCCCAGCCCCATCGCCCGACCCCCGGCCGGGCTCCCCAGCCTGCGGCGCGGGCCTGGCCGCCTTCGGCGTCAGCGCTTCGTCCTCCCCCTCTCCCCGGTCCCCGAACCACTGGGACCCAGGGCTGGCCAGAGGCAGCAGCTCATCTTGCAGATCCGGCGGTGCGGCCATGGCTGGCGGTCCCCGCGACTAGGCGGCTAGGCGAGGCCGATGTGCGGTGGCTGCGCGGGCGGGCGCTGCTTGATGCAGTCCCCAGCCGGACTCGGGGCTCCCGGAGGCTGCGGAGTCTCCGCGCCGCGGTCACCGCTGTGGCTGCAACTCCGGCCGAGCCGCGGCTGCTGCTCTGGGCGCTTCAGCTCCTCCTCCTCCCCCTCCTCTTCCTCGGGGCCCCGGGGCGGCCGCCGCCTGCGCTCCTCCCCTGCTCCAGTGGCGGCTGTGCCACCGCGGCTTCGCTACTCCCAAGCCTGTTATTACGCAGGTGAAAATGGCCTGCTTGGTCCGAGTCCTCCCTAGCGCACGTCAGCCTCTAGCCTGCTAATAGCAGGCTCTGATGAAGAGATGGGCCAAACCCACTTGAATCTTCTCTTGCCCAGGGAAGAATGCCAGGAGAAAACCGGCAGGTAGAAGGAAGCAGCAGCTTCCAGCTGCAGCGTGACTGGTTAGCAAGAAGTTAAACCCAAACTGGCGTCCTGGGACTCGAATGGAGCCCTCGGGACAACGGTTCTGAGGGTGACCAGGGTCAGCTGTGGAGAGGACATTGGTCTGAGTGGTGACCGAGTAGAGACGGGTATTGGTGGCAAATGGAGACACGAACATGAACCTCAAAGTTAAATACTGCATCCTTAACTGTTTCCAGAGCAAGGCTGAAAGCGGTAGAGTATAGGAATAAGCTATCAGGAATATGTTCTGGTCTTTCCAAAAAAAAAAAAAAAAAAAAAGAAAGAAAAGAAAAGAACAAAAAGGCTTTCCAGACCGGTCCCAACCAGCCCTAAAGGCAAATAGGACGCTATTAGGCAGAACAAAAGCCTCTGTGTCTCCTTTCTGAAACATTCCGCCAAAAGCCATACAAAAGGCAAGCTATCTTGAACAGTCTCTTTTATTTGAGACTTCGGACATTCCAGGAAGCTTCTGCTGCCTTTATCTTTCCCTTTTTCTCTCCGAAAAGACGGAAGGTACTCAGTGGAGGGGGAAGTGGCTCGTCTACATGTGTTATTCCCATACTTAGGCCTATCTTTTCAAACAAGCCGGTTTATTGGTTCCTAATTGTAAAATGATGTGCCTTTTAAACCTTAGGATAAGTCTGAACAGCAGTGGTGGTGGGAATACAGTTATCTGGTGCCCCTACTTCCTAGCAAAGGTGAGCATGAATGTCACAGCCTACCGAGAGGCTTGTGAGGTTGTGGGCCACCATTTGTACATGGGGGAGGGCTTCCTATCTTTTTGTAGATTCAAAATCCAGAGTCAGGATCATTCAGGTGCTCCTCAAAAATGACGAAAATGAAAATCCCAGAATCACCCTAATTTTTTGCTCTACTAGTACAATAATGTTCAAAAGATAGCAATAAAGTAGAGAAAGTGTTTATTAAATAGAAAATAAGTGTGCTTTCTAATGCCAGATGTTGATGGAGGATTGGAAAATCACCAAAAGTTTATATTATTAATAAATGCAAAATTAGTTTCTGGGGCTGGAAAAATGGCTCAGTGGTTAAGAGAACTTGCTGCTCTTCCAGAGGACCAGAGTTTCATCCCCAGTACCCACATTAGGCAGCTCACAACCACGTGTAACTCCAGCATCAGGGAATCTGATGCCCTCTTCCAGCTTCTGCAGGTATACCCACACACATACAGACACACGTGCATACACATAAATAAAAACAAATCTTTTCAATGGAGTTCAATCTAGTCACACAATCGGGGGCACTAGAGGACTTTATTTGATTTTATTGTTTAGAATACCTTAAAGTAACAAGAATACCTTGTTGAGAATTTTCTGTTATTATTAATATGTCAAGAATAGAGAAAATTCTAATGATTTAAATTTAAGTGGGTAATAAGAAGTACTGAATATTTGAGATCATGTGAGAGAGATAGACACAGAATGACTTGGAATATGTCACTTTGTTTCTCTGAGAAACACTAATGAAAGATGTCATTAAAAAACTGGACTACCTATGTAAGCCTTTTTGCATTCTTATGATTGAATGATAGAGGGTTTAGTGATTATTCTAATTATTTTCCACATTTCATCAACTACTGATCAATATTCTCACTTGAGAATATATGGAGGAAACAGCCAGTGAATTCTATTTATATTTTACATATCCTAGGAAATGATCAATTTCATTTTGATAAATCATTCTATAAAGAAGTGTGGTGTGCTAGTGGGATAGCTCAGCTACACAGTACTTGGTGAGGATCTCTCTCTCTCTCTCTCTCTCTCTCTCTCTCTCTCTCTCAGGGTCACACAAGAAAAAATGTAAAAATGTTTGCATGGCATTTCAGGATAAGCAATCTTCCCAAATATCTTCACATTCTAGACTTGACATCTGGATTTATGCAAGTTATCTGTTTGGGGAAAAATAGATTTATGCTATGACTAAACATGATTAATTTATTACTATTGTGTCACATTTGTGTCCCTCTAAGATGATGAAACCACAGATTTGAAGACTTATGGACATAATAAACAGTGATGGAGTTCCAGGACTTACATAATTGTGTCAAGTTATGAATTGCTCTAAAATGGTCTTGAGACACAGAAAATAGGACTGGCAGTTTTAAGAAATTCTCAGTAAGAAGAGTTGAGTTTTGTCTTTGTCTTTTTCCCTTTTTTTGGGGGGGTACAGTTGGTTTTTGTCAGAAAGAAGAGAAGGAAGGGGGAGGGAGGGAGGGATGGAGGAAGGAGGGGAGGAAGGAGGAGGAGGAGGAAGGAAGGAAGGAAGAAGAGGAAGAGGAGGAGAAAGAGGAAAAGGAGGAGAAAGAGGAAGGGGGGAACCTAGTGAAGAGTATTTAACCTCACTAGCTACTTAACTGCAGCCAAACCTCTATCATGGGGTGGGGGTTGGGGGGATATGGGGTCATGTGGGAAAAGTGTCACAAGTAATAAGCTTTAACCAATGTGAAATCTTTTCTAAGCCTAATATCTATTTCCTTCTCTGCTTACACTTAAGCACCCAAGCCAAGACCCTATTTTAAAACCCTCTTGGAGGAAAATGTGAGGGTGGACTCACTTTCACTGGCTTACTAAGGTGTTTGTCTTACAATAAGACATAGTCTGGTACCTCAAAAGTCTCCACAATCATTATGTTCAGTGTTGATTTGAAACTTAATTTGTCTAAGTAACAACCCAGGTCATTTTGCAAGGTGGTTTCACTTTTGGATAATGTGTGGAAACTACTGAATTTGGTACAGAAAGTATTCTCCATGAGGTCACGAGGGTCCGTGATTGTTTCTTCACAAATGTTTTATAGTTTAAGGTCTCACATTTAGGTATTTTATCCAATTTGAGTTCATTTGCATATGCAATGTGGGTAATTTGTCTTTCTTATTTTGTGAATTGCCTTTGTGTCCTCTGCTTTTCTAATTGGGCATTGTTTCTCATACATTTCAAAACATTCTTTGTGTTAAATTTCTGTCATTTTCACATCTTATTGCCTAAGAAGAATGAGAAAATCAAAGTTCTGAAAAGTTCAAAGACTGTTCCAAAGTGACATGTCTAATGCAGCTGTGAGAGAAGCCTAAATCATGTTTGCACCAAGCTTCATGAGCAACATAAGTCTTAAAACCGTAGAGTTAATTTTTCAATTTGAATAGAGTATGTCATTGACAGGAATCTCGCTCACAGAAGATGAAGGTAAACTACTAAGGCAGCCCAAGATTAGTGATCACAAACCATATGCAAAGTACTCAGGATTTAATGGAAAACGCTACCCCTAAGACTAAGGTCAAGAATGACGTCGCTGCTCTATGTTCAAGTCAGAACCCTGGACAGCTCAAAGAGTCCAAAGGCCTTGAAAATCGTTTTCTTCTAACTCAAAACTGCAATTACTGAAACCCCAGAATGCTGTTTAAAAGCTCTGACTTTATGGGGTTAATCTCAATTAAAAGAGCTCTCTTCTTTTCATACAGGCCCAACCTCTCTTGGGAAAAAGTATCATATTTTCCAAGAGTCTCTATTCTCTGTCAAGTTACAGGGCCTAATTGTCAGACCTGATAAGTGCATTAGGAAGTCTTATGTCCCTGGAGCTTCTTCAAAATTAGGGTAGTCAAAATAGGAATTGCTTCCTTTATCTCCTTGCTCAGAGTTCTTTGTCCATAAATATGCTCTTCCATTCAAACTTAGCAGGCAGATGCACTTGGAGTTCACAAAGGGACTTGAAATAATACCTAGCTGAAGCTTAAGAGCACAGCGCCAATGAGAGTTTGGGGGATATTGATAATAAGGCTCAGAACTGGGATGTATTTATAATTCTATATGCCTCATAACAAATATGGGATGTGTTATAATTTAATTACTAATGTCCCAAGACACATAGGACCACACAAAAATCTGTGACTTGTATGCACTACAAGCTGTAGAAATTAGTTGACTATATATATTGGAGAGACCTTATTTGGTTATAGATATGTCAGTCATAATTCTTTTAAAGCCTTGGTTTGTGATATTATCTACAATAATTAGATAACATTGGAATGATTAGACATAATGCCATCTTCATAGGACTCATGAATGTTGCACAAGATGAGTCATACACGTAGGGCTAAGAGCAGGACTTCTGCAACCAGAATGCTTGAATTTGGATAACTGTTCTGGCAGTCTAGCTGTGTGGCTGGAGGTGAACTATGTCTTGTGTCTCACTTTTGCCTTTGCAAAATCACAATAGAATGTTCTTCACAGGTCTGCTGTAAGGGTTGAGCGAGATAAGACAAAGCCTAAAACATAATGCCTGATATGCAGTGTTTAACAAATATTACTATTATTGTTAATATTATTATTATTTGTAGTAGTCACAGAATGTCTGGCATATAGACAACACATTTGATTAATGATTCTAAATTATTCTAAGGGCAAAACTTTCAGTATCTCTTCAGAGATTAGTTTAATCCAGTATTAAATGCTGATTTGGGGCTGGGGAGATGGCACAGTGGGTAAAGCTCTTGCTACACAAGCATGAGGGCCTGAGTCTGAATCACCAGAACCCATGTAAAATCAGGTATGGCAGCACACTTTTGCAATCCCAGAAATCTTAGGGAAAAAATGGGAAGTGGAAACTGGAGT